ATGTTTCTAGCAAGGGCTCATTTGTGCATTCGCACTACTTCCCAACCGTCTCCCACAACATTCGGTATTATGAAATGCCCTAAAACCCGATCAACGGTGGCCAAATCTGATCGAAATAGCGAGCTATTGGTAGCTAAAAAGATCTGAGTTTCTCGACTGAATTGTGTCGATCCGTAGGGAATAAACTGGTATTAATAAATTGTTTGAAGGATTTCTGCCAGGCAGTAAGCAAAACAGGATCCATGTTGCGACTTTGTCGCAGGCCAACAAACGTTGGCTTTTATTAACTCCCCATGTCCATGATGTATTATTAGAAAAGGAGTTATCACACCTTACTTATTGGCTGCCCTTGGCGGTTATGCCATATATAGTAACGAAACATTTTTTGACGGCTTTCAGCATTTGGGTCCGCAAAACGCTTTGTGATCATAGAAAATCGGAGCCCTTAAAAATTTCTTGTTTTGTATTATGTAGTGCGTCGGACCCACTCATTCCGACCTCTGGTAATTTCACGGTACACAAATAAATGAATTTAAATTACAACAGAGCTGGCATAAGCTGCCAGACAGCCTCACCGGATGAATGTTTAGTCGAGACATTATTATGGTATTCCACCATTCAACCATTAGGCTTTTTAAACCACAGATTCGTCACCTAAAATATGTCTTTTTATCTCAACACTGAATAAAATCTTCGGTAATTTTAAATGGTTTGTAGCTAGCCTGTGGGCTCTCTGGAGTTGTTTTCCGCGTATTTAATGACTAATGGGACTATTCTTACACACTGCAGTGTCAAGTGAAGTGGTGTTATTTCCTAGAGGCCCAGTTTACGGAAACCCGGAGAATGTATGGCAATCACTGGAATCGTGGTCTAGTTGCACGCACTAACTCTGCTCTACGTAATTGGGCTTTCTTGCTTCGTTGGCATAAACGACGTTTTGTTAACTGAAATTACTTCGTCCCTGGATACGCTTTGCAGTATACATAACCGCTGGATGTGCTCATAAAATGATCGTGCTCCACAATGCTCACTAACCTGTTTGCCGCCGATAACTTCAACCTGTTGCCGAATGGTCCAAGTTTTAGAAAGTAGAAAAATTTTCGCTTCTTCACTTTGACTTTCGCTCGTTTTAAAAATATGGTTTTCTATCCTTACTATTCCGAGGACTTCCGCAGGATTGCAGGACGAGATTTGCAAAATTAACTAACAATAAGCTATGGTTTATCTGGCCTACAAACACAATCGCGCAATATTTCATCCTCAAACCTAGACAGTCATACGACAGAGTTTTTCTTTTCCCTTTATTCGCAATTTCGAAAATGCGTTCTCATCTAACATCGGCAAATGCAGGAATCGTGACAACAATGTCTGCAACAACCAGGAATTCAGGATATGGTATGTTACAGTCAAGATTATTTACGCACGGCGCTCTTTGCATAACTCATAATGAAATAGTGACGCACTAATCCTAGACGGTTTGAATGATTGACTTTTTCCCTGTCGTTTTATGTTGTATTTTATTCAACCTCTATGCGTGCTTGCAAAGTACTCTGTTATTTATCATTCACATCCAGACAACCGTAGATACTCAGAAACGTCATGTTGTTGGGCAAACAGTCAAAGATGTCATCCTATGAGTTTGCTTATTTAAATTGTTGGTATTCATGGGTCAAGTTGTTGCAGTTAGATGATTGTTAACAAATCGTTTACGGAACGTTCGAACATTCAATAAAGCCGTGCGAACGGTTTGCTCGCACTACACCTAATACGCGTTAGTACATGGTGTACATAGTTAGTAGGAATCGTTGGCGAAAATCATGAGTGCCGGAGGAGGAAGCGTAGGTTTAGGAACAAAACCTGGATGTGCGACTTTGACCAAACACCGCCACCTGAGTCGTTGTTGAATTTTACCGGCGGTCACAACCAGAGGTCTTTGGCAGGCAGAGTGTTTCATTGTGATCTACGAACTTTGGGACAAGTCTTTTGGAACGTGCACAATTTACAGGGTAACTGGTTTACTGCAATTGAGATGGTTTCAGCATTCAGCGGTAAAACGTTTCCTTCGGCATTCTCTCAGCCGGGCTAAATTACCAGCATTGTTGGAATGCAACACGTTGACATCTCCGAATTTGTTCGTCCAGAGATTTAAATACGATTACCAGCAGGAATGCAACACGTTGACATCTCCGAATTTGTTCGTCCAGAGATTTAAATACGGCGGTTGGAGAGGAAAATATGCGGAGCGGAGCGATTTCTTCTAAGCGGATGAAAAATCTCCGTGAAAAAGCTGGGATTCTCCGCCGCATTCCGCGCGCGCGGGAAGGGCACTAGTACCACGTTTGTCTCCAGGTTTAGGTGCCCAACTTCCAACATACACGTGATATTTACTGGTTGCGATTTTCACTAAGAACAAAACAGGTGCTCCCATGAATAACGTGTGAATTGTGCTTGGT